GATTTAAACGATTTCTTTGTATATTACATTATTGTCTTTGGCGATAACCCGCGCCAAATTTTGTAAAGATATCTGGTCAAATGAAAAAGTTTTCCATACAAGCACTTCATTCCGATCGTTCAGTTTGTATGACAGCTATATACTATAGTGGTCCAATATCGGCCGTGCCGACAAATGAGCAGCTCCTTGGGAAGAAAAGGACGTGTGCAAAATTTCAGATTGATATCTCAAAAAACTGAGCAACGAGTTCGCGTATATACAGAACAGAATTTAAACAAACCTTTCATTTTTTGCAGTCGACATTTTTTTTGAGTTCTGGGAACTCATTGCTATTACGTCAGATAACAATTATTAAAAATCTGAGTTCAGAAAATATTGTATTCTAAATTTAATGACTGTAAGTCATACATAAAACAACATTGATTTATAGCTACTATCGATAACTACACCCAAAGCAATTAGATCGAAATAAAATTTCAGCGGGGATCGTCCCTGACTGTTGCATTGTGAAACTGTAAATTGCATCTGCAGAAAAGCTCGAGTACCTCAACTCAACCCGAATTACATATGCACATTCGCAATTTTGTAAAGATACAACACGACAAATCGTACATATGTTCTGATAGACTAAAGATAATCCTTAGCGTGCAATGAGCAGCGCTCATCTGCTCTAAAGTCCACTACAACTGTGACATTTAATGCCTTAATTCCGGCGATAACTATGTGCAAAATTTGCAGCCCTCTTCAAAGAAGTGGCTATCCACTCAGATAGCAGCACGGCGATACTAGCCTTGAGATCACTCACCGTGCATTTAGGGCCGGTTAAGGAATGCCTAAACTCGTTATCAATAGCATCGAATACTCTAGCTCCGCTATCGTAGAATTGGAACGGTCAAGATTCTTTGGCCCAGATTGAGCTCAAGAGAACCAATGAGCTCTTTTCGCTCAGTAAGGCTAGGCTCTTTCTAGTTGTGCGGGTTTTAAAACGCCATTCTCGTATCGGTCTATCACTGTAAGGTTAAGAATCTTACCGGATGCCAGAAAGACGCCGTCAGAAGCTGTGGTCGAACAAGGTGGAAACATTTCAGCACACTCTTCTTGATTGTCCCGCGTTTGCGAGATTAAGACTTAAATACTTCGGAGCGCACACTTTCAGATATCACACCGAACTGGTGGGAATAAAAATAAAACGCCTGATCTAAATTTTATTGAAAACAACAAGGCGTTTTGCTGACTTACAAGTATAATTTCAGTTTTTATGGCTTCACAAAGAACTTTTAGTAGTCCAAATGCGATCGCTGGATCCGTCATCAAACCTAACCTGATCTAACTGGTCACACAAACAACGTCATTGGCTCTCAACTTATTAACTGTGAAATTAAAAAATCAGATTGAATTTTATCAATTACAACTCGAGACAAGATAATTTTATGCTTGAAATTTGGTTAAAGTGTTTTGAGGGGTTTCTGAAATAAAGGATTTCAGCTAATTACTGACAGAGTCACGCAAACTTTAAAAAATGCTTTCAGCCCAATGGTGCCCCTAACTACTGTGATCCATTGTACTAAATTACAATTTAGTAAACCAAATTTTGATCGGATCATCTTAGGTTTTAATGACAGGCTTGTTTGGGCAATTAATTCATTGTGTGTTTGAAAGTTTTGTATAAGTCAAAATACAGCACAACACAGCAGATTATAGACTTTGGTCAAAACTCCAAGCAGCTTAATTTGTTTTTAATTATATTTATCCTTTAGTATAATTTAAAATTATATAATATGGAAGGCAGCTACATGTAAGTACAAATCATAACTTTTATCAGCACGAATTATGAACATTTCCAGTTAGAGTTAGACTGAATGTAGTCTGTAACTTCTAACTGTAACTGAGTTATGAAGAATCTTTCATTACTAATTAAAACTCAAGAATTACGCTTGAACTCCTTGAATTTACAACAACCGTACTACAATTTAAAACTAACTAATACAACAACAAATATAAACTACCAGTTATTAAATCAAAAAACCTACAATTTCTCACTTGACAACACATTTACCTTCGCGTGTTGCACGCTGGACACAGTAAACACAAGTCCTGCGCACCACTCAATTCAATTCAACACAAATCACCACAATTCCATTAATTTGAAAGTCGGCTTCACTTAAAGCTCAACTCTTTAACTAAAGTATGTGGCATTCGGTGCAAACTTGTCGCCTTTGTGTGTTGCAACACGCAAGCAATATGCCAGATTAAATGTGTGAAAAATTGCCACTTGCATGCAAATATGCAACAACAACAATGACAAAAGGAAAACGGACGAAAGGAAAACGTTTGAGCAAAACTACACAACTACAAAAATAACAATAACAGCAACACTTAGACTGTTATGCGGTAATTTCATACCACACAGACGCACACACATGCTTAGCAGCAATTTTTAACGACAGTTATTTATTTCACTTATTCGCATTCGGCTTATGTGTTCTTTTTCTTGCTTTTTTTTTTTTTTTTTTTTTTTGTGGGCTTGCCACATTTTTAGCAAATTTTTATTCTCACCTATTTCTTGTTTTGTTTTTGCTTGTTGTTGTTTGTTGCTGCAGCAAATTGCCAGTTTCGAATAACAGTTTTAAATGGGCATATTAGCGCTGCTAACGGTTATTATACAAATATTCATGAAAATTGCGCGCTTTAAATGGCTGTCAACACGCCGACTGGCCATTTAGTTTAATGTGCGAATATGAATGTCGAGTTGCCGATGATTATTCGTATACAGTTGTTGTTTGCTGAAATGGTTTATATTAATTTTTAGATGCACAATGGTTGCGTAATTAAAGTACACTTGAAAATTATAGATTTTTGGTTTAGAATTTAAAAAGTGATTTTTATATACAAATACATATATATATACATAAATATATTTTACTAAAAATTTTTAAAAAAAATCTAATAGTTGCGATTTTACTACTACACATGTAGGTATGTATGCTCCACACTTGTGATTTTAGTCTATATCCCTAGCAACAGTAACATCCAGAAGGAACTCAAACATTTTGATCCCTAGCATCAAGACTCAAAAGACTCGTACAGACTATAGCCAACACAACTTTCTTTCCAACAGAAAGCGCTAAGTCTTAAACAACGTTTGTATAGAGTACACCTAAGTACGCCATAATATCGCCAGTATAAACACAATATTGAACTTGCTTTCAAAGCAGTATTATATTTAATTAATATACTCAAGGCATTTCATAGGTAAAATCACCAGAATCAACCGAGGTTAGAAAACAATTTATATGCCAAAAACATCACCCTACATTTTATAACAAAAAAGTGTGAAACTAATCATAATCTAAAAACGAAATCCTTAATTATTAAAGAATTTTTCCTGAAAGTACCAGAACAGTACACTATTGATGACCACCTCCTACTTTCCGCCCATATAAGAGCTAGTTCTTTAACTGGCTGGCATGCAAGCCGAACAAGTGATTAGACAGCGGAAAACTGTTACTTCGAAACTAGCTCACTTTCGTCTTCTATCGAATTGAATACCATAAGGTAGCGGATCTACAAGCTGATTTCTAACAACTGAGTTTTAAAAAAAAAAACTATTTATCCATAACAAATGAGTCTCAGATAAGATGAGAGTAATTATAAAGATCACCTCTAAGACATTTTCTAGAATTACCAGTTTTTCTGCTTTCAAAACTGGTGCAAAGATGCTGCAAGTTTACTGTAAGTTCTATCTATAATAATTGATAGGTCTCTTGCAGCAGTTCCTACATTCTCTGCTAAAATCACTGCTCCAACGATATATCTCGCATCTTCGCAAACGTATGATAACAGAAAATTCTGTTTGTGTCTAATTGCGTTCGAAGATGAACAGAGCAGTGTTGCACGCTTTGGCAATGCCACTTCACAAGCAACGTTTAATAAAAGTCCATATTTTTATCGTATAGTTCATTGCATGATCCCTTTTTGCTTTATAACGCCGAATCCATTTGTTTGAACAAAACATATTTGTAGACTCGATTCACGTGATGTTAAGTTTAATGCACGAAATATAAGATAGTGATGGAATATACTTCGAAGACAATAGAATACTAGAGAAATGTCAAAATGTAGTGGAACTTATATGTAATAAAAGTTTAATGGAAAGAGGGTTGAAGTATAAGAATATTATTTATGCAAAGGCAAAAATAACCAAACTTTGTATTTATTGTGAAACAAACAAAATGTAGCGTTGTCGATAAAAAATTTACAGCGATTGTTCCATTTTTACAATAAGCAAATATAAAATTTTGTGTTTTAAATTTGGAATTTTTCTTTTTTTTTTTTGAATTTTTGATAAAAATGGGATTTCTCTCTTCAACCACTCTCCGCATACACCTAACCAACTTGAAAGAAGCATTTTATGATGAGGTGCTGAAGAACATTCCTGAAACTGACATAAAAAAAAAGCTATGCATGCGCTGGTTGATCGTTCACAATGTTGTATTGAGTGCAACCCTTACCCTTTTTGTATAAATAATAACTTTTATCGATAATAACATATAATGTGCGTTTTATTATATGAGAAGATAAGTTCGTATATTTTAGACACCGCTTGTATGCGTGAGTATTTCAAAAGTTTGTCAAGATTCGTAGAGAGCGAGCAAGTGCGTCAAATAATAAAAATTACATATATGTTAAAATAATCTTAAAGAACTTAAAAATTGATTTGGGAGCCTTAGAATATGATTTGAAAAAAAATATGTTCTTCAGAAGCAGAAATTTCTTGAGAACATGAAGAAAAATATATTTATTGAAATTTGGTGTTAACTTTATATATTAATACTAAACCACTTTCCATAATAACCTAACGATTTTCTACGAAATTTTTACAAACAATTGAAGAATTAATAAAAAATTATATTCAAAAAAGTTCTTCTTATTATATTGCTGAACAAATTTAATTTTTGTACAACGAATTCTTTTTCAACCCACCTTCTCTGTCGTTACAGTGTGAACCCGGCTTGGGTGCTAGCGTTATGTACAATCTACTCTATAATAGACCACAAAAATTAATGTTACTAGCCGGCTGCAGCACCGTCTGCACCACCGTGGCAGAGGCGGCGAAAATGTGGAATTTAATAGTGGTGAGTAAAAATTAAAAATAAATGAAATTAAATATAATACATATACTCGTAATATAACATACAATACACATTTATACACACGCATATGATAAGCATGTGTGATCTACAAATAATTGCTTGCAATTAACGCCAGGAAATTGCTAGCACACACTCCCACAAGCATATACCTATGTCGAGACACATAAAGAATATAGTAACGACGCGGCGATAAATGGCATTGACAAGATTGATGATGGTTATTGCTGTTGTTGCTTTTTTATGCGCTCTTGTAGTTTGCTTTTGTTCTGTGGCTGTTTGTGTTAAAAATAATGGCAGCGCATATAATATTTACGTTACTGAGTTAATTAAAAACAAATAAGGCCAATGGCAAGCAGAAGTGCAGGCAAAGACAGGTGACACACGCATACAAGCGTAAGCGCGACACACACTTACACATAGAAAATTACTTTATCAACAGAAGTGTTGTGGAGAAGTTCCATCCGTTGCTTTAAAGCGGCGAATGAAAATGAACTGATGAATTAAAAAAAAAAAAAATTCAATAAAAATATAATAGGAAATGATTTCTTCCGCCGAAATATGCGAAAAAGTTGTCAAAGTGCTCTGAAAATTAAAAAAAAGTATACCAACAAAGAGTATAATAGTAGCCATAAGTATCTTTAGAGAAACGTCCAGGAAATATTTTTAAATATTATTTTATAAAGAAATATTCTTGTCTTTATTAATTAAAAAATACTTAGCTTTAAAAATTAATTAAAAAAGGTACTTACAGAAAAATCCATAAAAGCATGTGCACTGAAAAGAAACATAATAAGAGAAATATTTAGTGAAATATGATATATATTATAAAAGCTAGTTTGATTGAATTTTGTAATAAAAGCCATTATTTATAATAAGAATAATTCTTCTTACAATTTTTGGTTTATACTTTTCTCATATTTTTTATAATCATATGGCACCCTTAAAAAAAATTTTTTTTTTCAAATATAAACAAATACAAATTTAAAGTGACGTTTAATTAAAATGTTAAATAATAGTTAATATATGTAATATAAAAACAAAAAATCGTATAATATTATATATAACATTTTTACATCCACATATTTTATCGTTAGTAAAGTATAGTAAGTTTTTTCCTAATACAAACTAGTTTAATTTTAAAATTTAATAGATATGATATAAATTCTAGTTTAACTGAATTTTTTTAATAAAAACTAATAATTGAAATATTAAAAAAATCCTTTAAAACTTTTTTTATATAATTATATTTATATATAATTTTTTTATAATTATATGGCAACCCTAAAAATAATATTTTTTTATGTTTTATGGTATTTTTTTTTTGTAACATGTGACAACCCTAAACAAATTTCCTTTAATATAATATTTTATATTATATTTTTACCTCCATATTTTTTTGTATTTAAATGGCAACTCCAAAAATAATGTAATATTCAATTTTTCTTAATATTATTTTAACTAATATTTTTGGTAATCATTTTGCTTCGCGAAAAATACTTTTTTTCCAAATAAAAACAATTTTAATATTAAAAAGTAAAAATATATATTCAAGTTTGATTGAAGTTTTAAATAAAAGCTAAAATTTGTAATATGAAAAAAATTCTATAAAAAATTTTCTTACATATAACTATTTATATTATATTAAACATATAACCATATTAAGTTTTTCTAGGTTTTTTGTAGTTATGTGGCAACACTTAAAATAAAATAAAAATTATTTAAAAGGTTTATACCTTTTTTACCCATAATATTAACAATCCCAAAAATAATATAATTTTTTTAATATGTATCTATATATTTTCACCTATTTTTTTGTAATCATTTTGGCAGCCTGAAAAATAATTTTATTCCAAATAAAAACAATTTAAATTTTAAGGTTTTATAAAGCTAATATTTGTAAATGAAAAATTTCTATAAAAATGTTCTTACATAATATATCTTATATTATATTAAAATATAATCATATTAATTTTTCCAAATTTTGAATTATGTGGTACCCTAAAATAATAAATTTTTATTTTGATTTATACTCTTTTTACCCATATTTTTGTTATATGGCATTCTAAAAATATTACTTAAACAACTTAATATATATTAAAATTAAAAATTTAATTCAAGTTTGATTGAAATTTTTAATATGAGCTTATAGCAGCAACATGAAAATTCTATAAAAATATTCTTATAATATTTTATACTACTATATTTAACTTCTCTTTTTGTAACAAAAATAATATAATTTTTATGTTTTTTATATATTTATTGTTTTCAATGCTAGAATAAAAAGGATATGTATTTTTTTTCGTAATAGACGACTTATTTCGAAATAATAATTTATATTCAAAATAAAATATTTAGTTTTAAATTTATAGCGTTGCTATCGAATTATAAAAATATTAACTTTTATTTGAAAAGATTAAATGCTTTTTCCTCAAAAAAATTTTTGATCTAAATATTTTCTTCCATGAAAATTTTCCACAATTGTTTCACATAATTTTATTTAAATTTTCAGTGCTTAAAATGTAACAGTGTTTTGCTCTATATATATAAAGACACCATTGAGTAGCATAAATGAAATTACCAGAGAGAAACTTAGCATCAATTAAGCATATAAACATTCATATATATATATATATATATATCTTTAAGTCAAATGATGGACTTATCTGCAATAACAGTACCTTCTATAAAATACACAATATCCCTAAGGACCATTTTGTAAATACAATCGAGTCATTGTACTTGCAGTACGTCAGAAAAAATACAGAATGGAGCACAAAATCATCAGCTGCAAACATAAGAGAAATGAAAACCAAAAAATTTTAAAAACGAACAAAAAAACAGAGAACAAAATTGAACGACATTTGGTAATTGAGAAAAGAAACAACTTTGTAAATTGCAAAATAAAATTGGCAACAGCTGTTGCGCTACAATGTAGTGCAAAAAAAATAAATTGTATACATATTCAGGCATAAAGATACATGTATAAAATAAGCTTGTAGGAAATTGATGGACATCTAAAGTCAACAGAATTATTTTTCATATAATAATGGTAATATTCTAGAATTTTTTTTTCAATATTAATTATTAATTAATTTTATACACAATTAATATACACATTTTATTTGTCTAAAAATATTTGTTTACTTCTTAGTCCTAAATGTTAATGCATATTTTTATGCATAGCCTTGTTTTACCAAAATTTTCAATAAAGACTAGTTTAAAGAATCTACAAATATTTTCGATCGTGCTAAAATACCCATTTCGCTATATGCACTTTTCTGATTTCAGTTGAAATCACGTATTATTTTTACAACTAGTTTAGATTAGGTGGCTTTCTGACTAGTTCAGTTTTGCTCTATAAACAACCAGTTTGGAAATACTTTAAATTGAAAAATTAAAATTAATCTATTGACATTAAACGCTTGTATCCGCTCCTTAACTTCGGTGCTAACTAAATTCAAAAAGTTCTTTGTGCACAATCCCCGAAATTTGTGATTTCGTTAATAAAAAATGGTTAACAGCGTAATAAAACCACTCTTCGCATAGCATTTGAATACCGAAATTAAACAAGTTAACCGGTATAATCACCTGCGATCTCTGTAAAGTGAATATTAGTTTTTTGTAGTTTTTCATTTAGTTTTGACCAACCAAAGTTCCTATATTTAAGTTCTTATTAAAATTTCCGGCTTACTTGATACCAATTATTTGGAAAAGTCCATACTATATATATAAAAAAGGTTTATTATATTAAAATAATCACACTCTAACTAGTCGAGATTTCCCCCATTCGCAACTAGCTCAACAAAACTGTGGACGGCAATGAACTGTAGAGCTAGTCCTATTATATAGAAATTTATGTATTAAGTGAGGCATAACTGTTTTCTAACTGTTTCATTAGTTTTAATATTTTTAGAGTTGCCATGTCATTATAGTATTATTATTTATTATTTTTCATTTCTTTTTATTTAATTTTAAAGTATAATCTTATGTAGCAATATTATCTTTTAACAACCAAAATTAATATTACAAAGCCAAACAAATTAAAACATACAAATTTTTAAATAAAATTTTCAATAGAAAAAATTTAATTACAAACTTAAGTGAATGATATTTGCTTTAGAAGCTGATTTTTTTTTCGAAACTAGTAATAAAATAACCACTTTCTCAACATCTATAACTAGTTGGGGCATTATTCTATAGTTAGTCCGTTTTAAATTATTTTACTGCAAAACATACCGCTAATAATGCATACATGCATACTCAATTATCACGATTTTTTCCAACAGGGACGTCATCAACAATTTCGCAATACAAGCAGCAGAGTGGAAAATTGAAAGCAGCATGCACTTACACACACACACCAACGCCATCATTTGTACCAGTTTTTTCATGAAATTTCACATACATTCTCACACTGCTAACAGTATACTTTGTGCAGCCGAATATTTGCGCTCATTTGCGATTTTTCTCCGCAAACACAATGCGATTGAGCAAATAACACAAATACCTGCACAGCCAACAATATGTATGTAGGCATATATATGTGTGTGTGTGTGTGAGCATTGTAAATGCTTATTGCTGTCGACAAATGTTGATGATGCGTTGCTAACATTATTGCTGACACACAACTGTCTGCAGCTATACAACTGGAACAACAACAACACAGAATATATCCGCTTGTTGCACTTTGCTTGACTGCACCGACGGCGGTCAGCGGCAGCTAGCGACGGAGTCAGATGTTAACGCTGATGGCACAATTGTAGTGTCATTGCGCACAGCAACCAACAATAATACCAACAACAACAACAACCACAACAAGATATGCAGCGTGTGTGCAGCAAATAAGAAGACAATGAATTGCTCAATGGCCATTGCGCTGGTTTGTGGTTGTGTGCGTGTATGTGTGTGAGATTTTTGCTTATTTACTGGTTTCTTGAATTATTTTTGCCTTTTACTTGCTTAAATCACTTGCCTTACTTGTTTTTTTGCAGCAAAGCCTGTTAGCTTTGCGCTTCACTGCTTCTGGTCAATTCCCGGTTGACAGTTTAGACTTGGCTTTGGCTTTACTGGCGCTGAAGCAACGGGGTTTATTGCGACTTTAAAGACCGTAAATAATCAGTGGAGATTATCAAATAGAGATAAAGCCTTTTTCTTTTTTTTTTGAGTTGCGGCGAAGAAAATTTAGCAATAAAGTCTGAAGCACCATACCGTTTCGAATCTGACTCCGTATATATATTTTGATTTTCTGACTTTTGTGGTCCATTGTATTTAAAAAACAAGATATGCTATAGTAGTCCGAGCTGAACAAAAAAAGCTGAAGATTTGAATTTTCCTAGGTAAGCGGTGGGCCTTTATGAATTCCCAAAACTCCTAGATATGGATCACTAGGACTTTATAGGTCGACGAAGCATTTTCACCCTAACCCAAATTTGATCAGGCGGCTAATATCAGCCCTAATCACTTTGCCAGGCTCACTGAAGATGCGTTTACAGAAATGTTTCAATCTCAAACTCAAAAGCTGAACAGTTGAGGAGAAAGCGCCTTGGTCATTCCACTGAGTCATACAGCGTTTAGCTACTTCCATACAGCTTTGCCAATTTGCGGCTTTCGTGGGTACCCTTTCGCACTTCACCTACAAGCTTCTTTTCTCATCTCAAATTAATTAATGGCAGTTTTGAAAACTACCCGAGAGTCTGATTTCCAAAATAAAATTATATACTTCCTCTTCTTGATTACAACTTTTGATCGGGCCACAAATAAGTCGTCAGTTCTCTGCTAGTCGAGTTGGTTCTACTTCGAAAAGACAGTTATGCTCTTATTCTTCTGTTGTTGGTCTTGCCAAAGCAAAGGTGTCCCTTTACCTTTATTATTGTTTGTACCAGCATATATTGAGTCCCTTCATAATTAAAGAAAGATAAGTATATGGAAGTTATGTATGAACCAGGTACCTTCGTAGAGTTTTTATTACTATCAGAACTAAGCGCTTGTTGGCATAAAGTTTCTTCCCAGCTGTCTATCTTTTGCCAAATTAAGATTGAAACATCTCTGTAGTAACATTTTCGGCATAGTTAGCGAAGTGGCTTCGACTCATATTAGCCAAATAAAACAATTTATTTACCTTCCAATGGTCCATACTCTCTTCAGAGTTAAAAATGAATACCGGCGGGTTCTAGTGTGTTGTAGACATAGACCTGTTTAAAACACTGCCACAGCTTATCTAATTATTACAAATAGACGACGAACATATTACCGGAATTAAAATAAATTGTTTTTCTCCCAAAACGAAGAATATAATTACATTTGCGTCGGAATTAAATATGCTCTTGCCAACTTCTATGCTGTACATGCTCTATATTGCTTCCCCATTGGTTGCACTTGCGAACTAATTAAGGCTAATGAGAGTGCATATGTGTGCAGGAGTATCACCTGCGGGACAGTGTTGTCATATTCCAAGCGCATGACCGCTGGCTGGTTGCGCAAACATTTTTAAATAGCTTAATGCTAATGAGATAAAATGCATATGCAAGGTAGAGGATAATCAGAAAATATGCGATGGGTGAGAAGCGCTGGAATAAGCGTGTTAAGACAGCGAGTGCAAAACGTTTAAGTATAAAGCAGGTGCGAAGGCGGTTTTTTAATATAGAGAGTGGTTTTCAAATATATATTAGAGGACTATAATGAAAATAATGATGCTTACGGTGACCGATTTGCTAATCAGGTTTCAGAAATTAGAAGAAATGTGTACACTAATTAAAAAAAATTAAACTGGACCTTAAGTAACTAGTTCAATATTGTTTTCCAGTAACTAGTTTAGCACTTGTTATAAACTGCTAAAATAAAAATTAAAAATATTTAATATTAACTTAGTTAATTTTGGAAACTTTATTTAACTACAAACTGTGACGAAAGTAACTAGTGAGAAATTAACTAATCCTCAAGTAACTAGTTCAAGAATTTCAGGCGATTATAAATAAAAGTTTCAACATTTAAGGAAGCTTCTTTGTGCTGGCTCTAAGCAGCTTATTTAAGGCAATAAAATGGTAAACTAGGAAACTCATAAATAAAGTACATCAATAAGTATGAGACACCCCACCCTTCATGAGTTTCACTAGAACTATTTTGCTGCCTAACTAATAGAGTTTACTTCAAGCTCACACTAAATTCGAGTAATTTTGAACAACAAAAAATATTTTTTTTACCGCTGCGAGGACTACTACACAAAATACACCAAAAAAAAAACTAATTTCAAAAATCGTCTAGTTCAACAGTGAGTAGTTTCGAGGTTGTACAAGTATAAAAAAAAATTGTATGAGTAATGAGTATTAAAACAATATATTTTATCGCTTTGGGCTAGTTCAAAAGAAAGCGGTTTTGGGGTTAGTATAAGTTTACCAATAAACCAAAGTTCAAAAAAAATTCAGCAGCAATCAATTTTTTCCGACAGGGTAACTATGTACACAACAGTCGCGTGCCATTTGTGTCTAACAAAATTAATTACTTGAAAATCTTTTAACTGCACTTTGGCCACAAAATATACAATGTGGCTGCACGCGAAAAAAAAACGCAAAGTGCAGGGACAAATGCCAACAAAGAGGAGAAAGAGAGTTCGTAAGAGCAAAAAGCAGAGTAATGACATTTATAAACAAGGCAACCACACTAAAGCGCATTAAAACCACAGTGCAGATACGTGAAGATTTTATTAACTTTTTTGTATATAAAAAAAAAAACTAAATTAAAAAACAAAAAACATTTTCTGTGGTTTTCGCCACTTTCAACCACATTTCACACACACATTTTACAAATCTCTATTTCAACCACAAATTTTAAATATATGTATGGTTCTTCTTAACATTTCAGCTCTGCTATGGTGCCTCGAGTCCGGCACTCTCGGATCGCAGTCGCTTTCCAACACTTTTTCGCACACATCCCTCCGCAACGGTACACAATCCGACACGTATAAAATTAATGAAAAAATTCGGTTGGTCACGTGTGGCCATACTGCAGCAGGCCGAGGAGGTCTTCATATCGGTGAGTATAATGAAATGGCAGTCATTACGCTAGATAGCTATCTGAAGCATTTATTTCATAGAGAAATAGAGATAGAGCGAGAGAGTGAGAGCGAACGAATGAGTGAGCGCAATATCAAAAACGTAAAGTAATATATTTGTATGTATGTGTGTGTATGTGTACACATTTTGCTCTATGCAATGAGTACTTAAAATGCCAAAGGTGAATGCAGTAGCAGCCACAAAATGAATTAATAAATAAGTGAGCTCAAAAGTGTGGCAAAAAAGGCAATTGCTGCCAAGGCACTTCAACTTTAATTATATAAATGCACACAGACATCAACATGCATTTTAATTTATTTATTTGTGTGTTTGTTTGTATCAGAGATTTGGTAAAAGCTTTTCCTGTCACCGAAATTCTTCTATGCGCCGCAATGTATGCTAGTGTTTTCAATGCCGGCAAAATTTTACGTATACGCCCTGTGCATTCTACTGGAGATTTTCAATTTAAATCAACTTGCGCTCATATTAATTATTTGAATTTAGTACTTTAACAGCAAATGAACTGTGCACAAATATGCAATTTATGGCAACTTAAGTGACATTAATTGTTCAGAGTTATTGGTTGCCTAATAATTTTGAGCAGTTTGACAGTTTTACACAAGCACAATAACAAAGTATCTTCATAATTTGGGCTATAGAGCAGATAAATTAGCTAAATTAATATGTTTAACATTGACACGTGGAAACTTAATTGAAAATTCGGAGCGAAGGTGGAAGTACCTGAGATTTAAGGAAAGATTATCACAGAAAAATAACAAAAATAAATTATAATTGAAATTCAAACTCAAACTCAAATTCAAATGAATACTATTATTAAAATTAAAAATAGAATTAATGAAAAATTAAAAACTTAAATAAAAAAAATAAAAAATTGTAATTAAAAAAATTAAAGTTAATATTAATATTACAATTAAAATTAGAATTAAATTTAAAATTAAAATTAAAATTAAAATTAAAATTAAAATTAAAATTAAAATTAAA